ACAGTGGACAAAGGAGAGGCACTTGCTCCTCTCCTGTTTTTGAAAAAATTCTCTGAGCACATAGCTTTCCCKGAGCCTTGCAAGCATTCTAAGAAAAACTTGAAATTCTCTCATCTGTGACCATCTATGCTGTCATGGAGTAGAGATATCTGACACAGCAACATAATTAAACAAAAAGAAATAGCATTTCATCAGTTTTTTTGTTCCAAAGATTTGAGAGAGTGCATAAATGTTTTATATATGCAGTCTCAGCAAAGTATTCAAGACTTTACATTACCACCCATGTAGATAAAAGCTTCTACTATTTCAGTTTTCCTTAGTTGCTTTTACTTTTTTCTCTTAAWTTTTTTTAACAATGTATTATTAAAATGTATTAAAATGTCATGGAATCTGAAAACCTGTTCTGATTACTTGTCATTTCAGGGAGTACAGTTCATATCAAGAGTTCATCCTATTCTCCCATTTCCTTCCAGATTACAGCTTTATGGTATCTAAATCCTTTGCTTTTGCAGAAAAGCCTAATTAAGAGTGCATTTCAGGTACTGTAGGCTGCTTTTCAGGACATTTACACTTCAGCAAGCAACGTGTGAACCACCAGATTTGTATTTCCCTCCATCAAAATTGTGCAGCCCAGTGATACTGCTAAGAAGGTTAGGAAACAAGTGTCAGTTTAGCTAGAAAATTTTGKTTTTCCTGCTCCTTTGCACCTTTAAAGCTTGTAGAACACCAAAAAAAAGCATTACAGTGACACCATGTGGTTACGTTCCCTCATTCCTTCAGCTTGCATGCTTTGCCTGCCCAACTCTGAGACACCACAGGATCTGCTCTGCCTTAACCGTCTCCTAAAACCCAGGCACAGATACAGGTGGTGTTTGCCCGCTGCCACATTCACATCTAACACCACTYATCTTGCAGGCAGCTCTCCCGTTGCTGCCCCTCTTATCCGAGAATCAGGGTGTGATTTGCCATGAAAAAGGGAGGTCTGGTGCGAGAAACAGCACTTTCCATGGCCTTCCCTTGCTACAGTGGCTGCTTGCACCTGCCTTGGCCTGTGCTGGCTGAACGGGCAGGAGGCTCCAAGGGAGTCGATGACCCAGTGCCCGCACCTGCTAACAGCGCACGGCCCTTCCTCAGGGGGGACCAATGAGTCTAACATGAACACTCAACCTGAGGAGAAAAGGCTGGACACAGGCTGTGGGGTGGGGTTGCGGACGGCTTTGCCCAGGACGACAGCCCTGGCACAGAGACCACCCCCGAACGCCGTTTCCAGCGGCCGCGGSAGCTCCGCCCCGGAGCTGCCGCCGCCGGCCGTTACCGCGCTCCTCCCCGCGCCCCGTTGCCGGGCGCAGCCGCCGCGCTCCAACGGCTGCGGGAGGCAGCGGCGCCCGCGCCATCATGCCCGCCCGCGGCGCCCATGCGGCCCCCTACAGCTACTGCAGCGAGCCCCGCGCCCTGCCCGCCCGGGCCAAGTACCGCGCGGCGCCCGAGGCCGCCGAGCAGTGAGTGCCGGCACCGGCGGCGCSCGGTTCCGTCCCGGAGCGGCCGCGCCGCTCTTCCCCGCGCGCCCGCGGGCCCCTCTGGTGGCCTCGGTGTGAAGGTCCGGGCGGCGGCTGCGAAGCCGCAGCTGCGGGTGCTTGATGTTGCAGGGAGAAGGGGCCGGTGCGCTACGCAAACCTCATGTACGACCGGAGAGTGGTGCGCGGCAACACCTACGCGCTCCAGGTGCTGCCGGGGGTACGTGGCTTGTTGTGTGTGGCGTGGGCTGCAGCTGTCTGGTGCAAACTTAGTGATGCTGGAAACTTACGTATTTAAAAAAAAAAAAAAAAAAAAAAAACCTACATCCAGGCAAGACTCTCTAGTTAAATTATTGTGCTGGTTTTCTGGTTGTGTTTAAAAGATGGATGTTCCTGATGAACTTCACAGGATTTTTTCTTCAAGTGATTTTTCTCCCTGCATTTCTTTACTGTCATAATATTGAGCAAAAGCCCCCACTGTGTAGTTTGCTACCGTATTTATTCACAGATRTCATCAGAGAGGATAGCAGCTCTTGGGGACATTAAGCTTTTGAGTGCATTAGAGCTTGCCCGGCTGTAGGAGCAGAGCCACAGGGAGCGTAAGCCCAGCTGTCTGCAAAAGTTCCTCGTGAGCAGCAACGGTGTTTTGTTCCTCCTGACACAGTAAATGTTTAATGATAGTTGTTTTCAGATAGTGTTTCTTGACAGAATACTTCTTGAAATATTTCTTGAAAAATAAAAAAAATTAAGTTAAAAAATAAAAATTGAAAACAGTTATGTATTATAAAAAGCAACTTTGGGGAAAACATTGGATTGTTCTGTGACTGTTACTTACTGTAAATTTCACATTTGTTCTGTTTAAAAGTTCAAAAGTGATTTTCCGTTCAATGCATGAACACAGTTTTAAAGTTAGTCTGGGTTTCTTTTGCTTCATACTTAATCAGCAAGAAAGCTTCTGTAATTTCAGTCTTGTGGGCAATTTAGTTGAAAGTATGAAAATCAGACTTAAGTCTATCTGGCATTCCGAAAATCTCACTAGAAACTCTCAACTTGTGTGTGAGCAAGAACATGCTGTTTTAATATACTTTATCTTACAAGTGGAGTTCTGTAAACGACACTATTTCCAAGTAACACTTCTGTTAGTGTGAGCTCCTGTTATCACACGCCAGCAGATAATGTACTGTGATGGTTTAATGCCTTACAGTCCTTAAGGTAACTGATAATTTAGATTCAGGACCCTGAAAAGCATCTGAAATCATAAATCTGTAGGATTTAAAGAGAAAAAGTCTTCATTTACCTGTAGAAATTAATTAGAAACATTTCTATATGTGAAGCTTATATTGATCTTTTTTTCTTTCCTCCCACTACATACTCCCTGCCTAGAGTATCCAACCAGATCCCCTGGAAATTCAGAGGCAGAGAGAAGCGCGGAGAAGAGCATTGTTCAGAAAACGAGCAAAAGAGCAGATGCAGCCAAGAACACCTGAGCCTGTGGAAGGCAGAGAGCATGTTCATGTGCAGACAGGTAAAGGATGACGAGATTTAAATTTCAGTTGAAAATAAAACATGCTGGTTCATATTGATCTATTGAATTCATGATGCAGTTGGTAGCATCAGCCAGAGTTAGAGTTCTCTTMTTCTTTTGCTGAAACCTCTTACTGTTGTATTTAGCATCAACTAAATTTGCTATTTAGAGTGAGATTGTTCAATTTAAAGTATACGTTCTTGAAAATGATACCAAGACTTCTTCATTTGCTCTTTCTTTTATGAGTATCATCAGAGATGTTTGATATATGCCTCAAATTAATACTGTGGGGGTTTATTATTTTTGTTTAATTATTTTTGTTTAATTATTATTTTTGTGAAAGGGTGCAATCATATTTAAGAATAAGACTACTATTAGAATTTACCAGAAAAAAAGTCTAATCTAGATAAAGAAGCTAGCTCCTCTATACTTATAGCAAAAAGATGAAATTTGGCAATGAGGTAATCCTGAGGTGATTGTAAAGTTGTGCTGTGCCCTTCTGAAAATCATTTCAGACTGGACTGACTTACGCACTGGGAAAGTGTCTGTGACACAATTTCTGTGTCACTTCCTACCTTCCCCTTCATCCCCGCCCCGGTAACTGTATATACTCCACAACCCTTATTTGCTGAAATAGGCTGTTTGTCCCTATAATAGGAGACAGACACTTAATCACTGTATACAATGTATATGTGTCAAATCAAACACATACCACTGTAGATGTGCACTTATCTCAAGATAACTGTTTTGCCACATACAACAGAAAGCAGGTATTTTTAATGTATCTGGTTAATAGAAATATAAGCRGTGTTCCTTTTTGCACGTTGTGTATCCCAGTTGACTTTACCCCCAAGCTGTTTATTCTGCAAGGTAAATAGTAATGGTCTAGATTCAGACTTTTGAAACCTGAGTGAAATGTCCTTTCAGGAGCCATTTCTAAGAGGTGCAGCAGACATTAAGGAGAAAATGGTATCAGAGGGTATATGCAGAAAAAAAATGATGTATGTTTTAAATCAATTTTTTTGGTAGAAGTCTTTTCTGCAAATATAATTCACTCTATACCGTCATCAAACATAGTTATGAGATTAACTAAATAGAAGTCAACCTACAGCATTTCTTACAATTTTGTTTTCTAGAGCTATATTTGGAAGAGATTAGGGACCGGATAGTTGAAGTTGATGTGGAGTGTCAGACAGATGCCTTTCTGGACAGACCACCCACACCCCTCTTCATACCAGCCAAAACTGGAAGAGATGTGGACACGCAAATAGAAGAAGGAGAGGTATGATGCAAAGTTCGGTTCACAAGCACTGTTTAAAGATGTAAATGTTTTCCACATTAAGTTTCTTCAGAAAAATCAAGGCAGCAAGTACASCAATTTCTACTGACAGGATCATTTTTATTGGTGGCGGTTTGTTTGTTTATCTGTCTCCATTGTCTGCTGCAGATTAATTGCAAAATGAAGGTAGACGTTTACCGTTGTGCTGATTTCAGCTAGGAATCATCATATTGAGACACGTTCTACCCCATAGAAAGAACATCTAGGCCAAGAGGGATTGGGAAGAGGGAGGTGAGCAGAAATGGGAGCACTCTGGCTCTCCTTGGCAGCCTCCAGATTGGCTGTGAGGGGGGTGGAGTGTTGTGGGGTTCATGTGACAGTCTCAGTTTTGTGCCAGCCCAGTGCCCTGTAGCCCCCACCTGTCCTCATGCTTCCTGCCAGGGCTGCCCAGGGGTCCCAGGTGCTCAGCTCAGYGCTGCCTGGAACACGGGTGCCTTGCGGCTCCTCCTGTCCCGCTGTGCTGTTATGAGGGATAGTGATCARGGACCATTTTGTCTCTCTCCCTGCCTGCCRTGCTCAGTTGTTTGACTTTGACATTGAAGTGAAGCCGATGCTGGAAGTGCTGATAGGGAAGACCATTGAACAATCCTTACTGGAAGTCATGGAAGAAGAAGAGCTGGCCAACCTGCGCGCACATCAGCGTGCCTATGGGGAGCTGCGTAACGCAGAGCTGGCTGAGGTGCAGCGCTTGGAAGAACAGGAGAGGCGATACAGTGAGGAGAAGGTAGGAATGACAAGGAGCAGAATGAGCCTGTGTGAAAGCTTATGGTAAGAAAGAAAATGGTTTCCACCACTGAAAACTAAGCTGTGAAGCTGTGAAAGTCTTCTTTGGGCCAGAGGGTACTGCTGGGTAGTTGCACTGCCTCCAAGCAGMTGGGTGTCATCTGACTGCCCACTGCAGTTAGCTCTGCTGCAAGTGTGTGATGCTGGTGTGCTGCCTTGGAGTAGGCGTTCTCCAGCGTCCCCGGATCAAGAGGCCAAACCCTGAAACACCTTTCTGTGGATTCAGTGCTGCTGTCATTCAAGCAGGTAGCTTAGAGAACTGAATGCATTCAGTACTGAATGTGCTTCTCGAGATCCGTACGCATAGCTCTCAAGTTCTCTAGGTATTAAGTGATCTATCTTAGTAGAGCTCAGAACTCAGTAAATCATGAAGAAAATGACAAGATTTTATTATTTGCTGTTCATTAGTATTGTGGTTTTTTATGTTTTCTTGCACGCCCCTCAGTTTTATCCCATTCAGCTTAGGAAAAGATTAAAAACTGAACAGTCAAAAAAGTCAGGAAGTCCTGAACCAAACTCAGCTCATTCCAAAAGCTTAACCGTCAACTTTATCTGCAGTAACAAAGCATTTTGTTATGAGATCAGTGTATGCTAAGATAGCAGAGAAGGGTTTTGTTTGACCAGCTACAAAACCATTATTTCACAGACTTATCRAAACCAGGAAAACAATACGAAAGGGATGTTTCCCTTTCGTAAATTTTGTAAATTTACGACTGTAAATTTTAACAGTCTGTAGATTGAATACAAGTCTACTTTCAAATCTTCTTTCATATGAAGAGCGTTTTGCCAAAATAGACGCCACAAATGCTGGCTGCAGGCCATAAATACTGGTGATACCTATATTTATTCACTTGATTATATCTTTGCTTTATGGGTTTTATGCTGTGATCATTCTTCAAAATCTAGATCAAAGGAGTAACAACTAAGGATCTGAAAGTTTTGCATACAATATTCTTTTGTCAGGAACGTCGCAAACGTCAGCGAATGGAAATGCTGCAAAAACAGAAAGAGACCACAGAGAAAATTGCAGCTCGGGCATTTGCTCAGCGTTACTTGGCTGATCTCATTCCATCAGTCTTCAATAATCTTCGTGAGAGTGGCTATTTCTATGACCCTATAGAGAGAGGTTTGTATTTATTTTTTTTAATATGTGAACTAAACAATTGAACAGGCAAAACAACCATAAAACACAACTTACGGTTCTATTGGTTAGTATAATGTAATGACTTGATTTATTTAGTCATTTACACTTAAAACTGAACATAGATTTTTCAAGCTCATGTTGTTTTTAAGAACAAACTGTCCATCTGTACAAGTAAGAGAGATCTTACAGTTTCACTTGTAAGGAGAAATTCAAATTCAAACCGTTTTTGAATTGGTGCGAGGTATATGTATGATTAAGATTGATAGAACATATAGAAAGAGATCCAAATTGTGTTATGATAAGACAGGCAAAGAAGTCACTTTTCTATCTGTCATTCGGAAGCTTCATTAATAATTATCTAAGCAAAGGAGAAAGTAGTCAGAATTACAACTCAGCACTGAAAATAATTTCTGAGTTTTTACCTAAACAATTTCCAAGCTTTTAGAATCAAGAAGCTCTTCCTTACATCAGAGGCCACATGTCAATGAAAGAAAAGCAAGAAATGTTATTCTCCTGTATTGCTCAGAATAGTTATTTTCACCTAACTAGAATATGACTGTCCTTTTCACTTGTGCCTGCCTTTTGAGGGTGGCAACCTCCTTTGAAAAGCACTGAAGTTGAATACTTTGGCCCAGATCCATAAAGATGAGGAAGCTAATCAGAAGAGAGAGGAGTTAAGACACCCAGTATCTTCTGAGAGATTTAAACTGGCTCCTGGAAAGCAAGCATCTTCTAACAAGGATGTTCATCTTTTAACAACTGCAGCAAACGAGAAACAGCTGCAAAGATTCTCCCCTTCATCCTTAATTTTTTTTTTTTTTTGCTTTCTTTCTGTCCAATTCTTAACAGATATTGAAACAGAATTCCTTCCATGGCTGATGACAGAAGTAGAAGAAGCGTTGGAGAAGAAAGTTCTGGGGAGGACAGTGCTTGACTGTAAGTTACAGAATTCTGGAATGTAATTTGAGCTGGTTGATATTCCTAATTGTTTTTCCCTAGTCAAAACAAATATAATATTTACAAGATAACCATGAGCTAATGCAGCATGTGTCATTTTAATAAGAACTTCAAGTGCAAACAAATAACATTAGATTGCTCCTGTTCTGCAATTCACCCTTCATGTTTCTTTGCTTATATCTAATCTGCTAGCGTTGAGTCAACACCATCTCTGCAAAAGGTATTGCAATTTGCATTTGCCAGTGGGTTTTATGGAGGCAGATGCTACTTATGCTAGGGTATTTGTGGTTGCTTTTCCCCCTGTACAAAAGCATAGAGAAAGTCTTGGAAGACCCACTTTTAACTTACTTGAATGTAGAAGCTACTGAAACTCCACTGTCCCAAAGAGCTGTGAACTGCAGGTGAAAGCTTTGCTGTCTAAAGAGGCTTTATTTTCTTTCCATAGATGACCATTTCTCCTTTTATATTCCAAATTCAACCTGTGAATTACCAGTGAAGCTTTTCTTCAATACCTCTGCTTTTCGTCATTCATTCTTGGCCTTTGTGTCATATTTAGTATTTAATGGATGTATTTSAAAGTGATAGCTGAATTGTTGAGTTTATTGATTTGAAAGAGTTGTAACCTTTGGGGGAGGAGGGCAGAGTTACTAAGGATAAACAGCAAAAATAAAGAACAGCTGCTTTGCAGTTGCTTTTCAGAATGACAGAATCTTTTGGCCATGTCAGTAGTTCCAGTATTTCCCACTGCCAAAAAATGTCCTGCCATGTGCAGCCTGGCTAGTCCTTGTTTCTGACAGAGTGACCTGCTTGAGCAGTGATCAAAGAATGGGGGAGAAGAACCAAACAATCCAGGTGAACCTTTTTGAATCAATCCTTTCAGATCAAAGAGCCCGTTCAGCTGAAGCTATAGGCTACAACCAACATTAATGGTTTTGCTCCTTCATGTATTTTTTTATTATTTTTAGTGTTATTTCATTTTATTTGTTTGAAAATTAATAGATAAATAATACATAAAATGATTTCAAATTACAACTTTTTTCTTCATGTTTGTTAATGATTGCTTTCCCCGTTTCCAGCCTTGATTTGCACAGTGGTTGGAAAACGCTTAGATGCCTTTAGTCGAGAACAACTGCCTGGCCAGACAGAGATTCGCGCTGAAGAGCTCGTGACAACAGACGCAGCCCCAGAGCCAGCTGGTCTGACAGAAGATACCAACCAACCAGCTGAACAGAAAGAAGTGACYGAGCAGCCTCTTGTTGAGGAGCAAGTTGTGCCTCGCATCTCTCTCCAGTCAGAGGAATCAGATCAAGCAGAAATGGAGGATTTTCTAAGTGAAGAACAAGAAGGTAAGTCATCACATAAATGAAGATGAATAGCTTAGCCAMAGAAAGAGATTATTTCCTGACAATGTACAAGGACTGTCTCCTAGCCATGGTAAAGGATGAACCCAAGCAACAGTTGAGCCTTAAAGCATGTTTTCCAAATGCTGACATTGCCCATTTCAGACTATTCAGACTACAAAAATTGACAGAGGTTATTAATTTAATGAACTGCAGTTCATTAAAGGGGAATTCTATCCCCTTCATTAAAGGGGAATTCTATCCCTTTCCACACAGTCCTTGCAAACCTGGGTCAGTTGATAAGCAATGCTGTACCATTCCTCATGTTAAAAGGAGGACATTGAAAGCATCCTAATAACCTCTGTGAGTGCTTTGATCATGCTTTCAAAGATCCAGAATCTCTTCAGAATGGAGATTTCCTTATTTTGCCTATTTTGAAAGGTAACTATTATGGCACTTTGATGAATCAAACTTTTTGTTTTTTTTCCTGCTCATGTTAGTCTTTCCTCTCCTGACAGATTTGGTTGGGCATCTCAGCAGGCAAGGGGCAAAAAACTGTTCTTCTCCAAGCTCTTCAAGTTGTCAGAGTTATGTGCCACTGGGAATTACTGTGTGTACCATGTACTGGGAATTACTGTGTGTACCTCATCCTCCTTATTCCACAGTACTGCTGAGGGATTCAAGCCACATGTGAATCCAGCCTCAGTTTTGCTTCCAACCCCTTTTTCTTGATGAGCTGCTGGAAGGTTGTCAGACATGACTGGCAAAATGCACCTATGCTGCCACACAGACCTTATTATTTGCCAACCAGCTTTCCCAGTGGTCCAAACTCACGAAAGTACAGCTGTACCCCAGTGTGGAAGCATTGTTTCCTCCCAAGTAAACCTGTGGGGAAAAGTGCCACCTTATCAAAACTGTCTTTTGCTACCTCTTCTCCCCACTGCAGAAGAAATCTATACTGACCTGGTAGGCTAGGTCCAAATCTGAAAATGAGGCTTCAGAACAGACCTCAGAGGAGACACGTAGCTGCTCCATATCTCATATTCTAAAAACGGATGCCCAAGTTTTTTTCCTGGTCCATTCGTACATCTGGTTGCAGAGGCCTTTCCTGCCTTTCCTCATCCTGAGCTAGGACAGTGATGAGAACCAGTGCAGCTGCTGCTTATGTGGAAAAACTCCCTTGGAAAGTGTTTTATATTCATCTATCTCTTTAGGTATCTGAGAAGCAGATATAATAAAATACCAATAACAAGTAATCTATGCAATGGTTTGAGCCACAGCAGATTTGAGTAAGTTAAACTAGATGTTCATGCTCAAATAGTAAAGACTGTAAATAAACAGACTGATGGTTATTTTCTATAAATATTCTTTCAAGTTCCTGCTGTGTTTGGTAATTACTTCAGCATACTATACTCTTTTTTTTTTTTCCCCAACCACTACTTTCTAAATTTGTGAATTTCAACGAATTTATTTTTATGACACAAAACTGTATGTAAAGTTTTGGGGTGAAAATATGATTTGGACATTGAGGTCAGTAGGAGATTTTGCTCTATTTCAGCTGGACCAAGACTTTATACTGTATTTGTTCCCATGATAGAGACTCCTGTCATGACTTAGCATAAATCATTCTCTTCTGGCTAATTTTATCTAGATATAAATAAATACAAAGGCATTGGGGCATGGTCTGTGATACCTGTAAGTGCTTCAGCTTCTTTCACGGTATGTAGTTTATCAGTTTTAAGGATCTCTCATTACTGAAGGGGATGTTTTCTCGTATCTTTACAGGAGATGTACCTTAGCCTGGAAGACTACCATGGATCATTTTTGAAAAGATTCAAGAAAACAAATACCAACTTGAATATTTGTTCTTTTAAAATGTTACAAGGGGAGAGAGTGATCACCTGGAATACTTTCATGTTTGTCACTTCTGCTTTGTGTTTTATTGCTAAAAAAATACTTAGCATTGAATTATTCTCTTCAAATAGATTCGAGTATTAAATAATGCTAAGTATATAAAATTATAATTTTAAATTATTGTAAAAAAAATCAATGAATTGCATGCACTGCATTTTTTACTTCATTAGAATTTCTGAATACAACCCATTCCTGTAAATCACATTATAATGTAATGATTGTACTGGGAAAAGAAAAATCTGTTTTAAAAATAGCTTTTAATATAGCCTTTCTCTCCAGTCTGTGATTTGCAGTGATCCATCTTGATCTTTCACAGAGTAAAAGCAGACAAAAAGAAAGCCTTCATGTTGTACTTCTTTGATGGAAACACTGTCTTTAATATATTATAATTTTGTGTGTGTCTGTAGGATTGGGGCACAAGCAAACAAACTTCTAAGGAGGTTCCTTAGAAATTTCATGAGTTTAGAGGCAACAGTGCATCCTTCCAGGAGAATTGTCCTGAAAACACCTGGCCTTGCGTCTTGGAAACCTTTTTTTCAGTGACAGCATAGTTCAGTTTAATGAAGGAGAGGAGGAGAAATGTGAATATAATAAATGAGCTAAACAGTATTCCTCAGCTTTTTTCCACTGATAACAGCCGTTGGACAGGAAACTCCATGCCTGCACACTTTGCATTGAGGACCAAGCCTGTGGCAGTAAAAGTGGGGGAAAAAAATTCTGAAGAATAATCTATGAACAATGAATGTTAAATTACAACTGCTAAGGAGCTTGGGAGTTGTGTTTTGAAAAGTTTTTGATTTCATTTTTTTTAACACAGTTTAGCAAAGCATGTTTCAAAACATGCTTTGCTTCCAATTCTACAAAGCTGAGCCTTTCAATTTAGTAAACCAGTCTGAAGGGGTATCTTCTGTTCTAACTGTCCCAGGCTGCCTGGATCTGTCTCACATTCTTTTCTGCTGCATGGGTGGTCTGATCTCCCATTATGTATGTCCATTTCTGCTACAGATCAATGAAGATACTACTCCTTAACACTCCTCTAACTTGAGGTCATTGTGAGGGACAGTTCTCAGCAGTATTTCTTTCCCTGAGACCAAATGCTCCAGTAAGTTGTGCCTCACAGAACCACAGAGGCTGTGGAAGGAGATGGAACAGCTGATACTGTTCTTCCCAAGCTGAAATTGTTCCAGCTCCATTTCCTGTTGATTGTTATCCACCACTGCATGTGCTAGATGGTCCTGTAGTCACAGAATCTCTGTTGTTGAGGATGTCCTTTCCCCTGTTCAGTCTGCACTATCCAGTGCAAAGGTTAAATCCATTTCTTCTAGATTTTTCCACCTTTTGGCGTCTTTAGTTCCCCAATGACTTAAAAAGGTTTCACTTCACTCGTTACTGTCCTGTGCCAAGTTCTGCAGCCAAGCTTGCTGGCAGGGACCTGCTGTCCTTAACCTCCTGCTTCCCCTTCACTGTGCGGAGGGTGATGTGAGGGGATGGGCAGGGGAAGCCTTGGCAGGTTCATCTGCTGGGGAGGAGCTGCATGCAGAAGTGCCCAACAGCCCTGCAGCTGCTCCAAGTTACCCTCATGGCCAAACACTGTTTTGGAAGCCCCAGCTAGTAGGAGAGATGAGAAGGGAGGGGAGGGGAAGTTGTCCCCTCCCAAACTGTTCTGGAGGGAACATTTGCTGCACTGGAGAGGCTACCTGGGGAGGATACTCACCTACATATCCCTCTCCCTTTTCTTCCTGGCCTCTGCGGAGACTTTTTTCTTTTGTTTATCTCTCTCTTTTTATTCTACATTTTCACCAAACTAACTTCTACTGCAAGAGCTGATGTGTGCAACCAGTTTCAGACCCCAGAAAAAGTCCTGTGCTTATAAACCTGTCTCAGCATCCTCTGCACAAAAACTGGGCTCAGCTGCTGAACTGGGGTTGACACCTGAAAACCTCATGGATACAGGAAGGTTTTGAATAGTCACTTTGAATAAAACCCACAAAGCTAGGGAGGCTTGCTGTGTGTGTGTGGTACTGTCTGGGGCTTTTTCTGACAGAGACCCAAAGCGGGCATGACTTGAAGAGGGCCCAGCTCCGCAAAGCAAATAGCACTTAACTCCTCTGGGCTATAAGCAGTCCTTTGGACATAGTGCAGTGCCTGAGTGAACAACTGCCCTGCTCTGATGGTGCTAGAAAAAGTGCCTAGAATTGCCTGCTCTTACAGGAGAGAGCAGCTGGTTTTGCAGTAGTGTTCATAATCCTTGTGTGTGTTCAGGCTTGGGCTGGTGGCACTGCTGGGAGGCAAGGTATTTTGCTGAGGGTCCAGACAGAGTCTGTGCCACAAACAGAATTGGGCTCTGGCTCTCTGCATCACTCTTCAGCACCTCATCTCCACAGGGAGTGAGTGGTGTGTGTGTACGTGCACCCTCTCACTTGCATGGTGTTTGCTCTGTGAAACCCTGTGGATGGAATCACATGGCAGGGAAATGTCATCTTGTGATCCCTTAGCAGGGACCTCAGAGTGAATGAGCATCCTGCGTAACACGTGAGATAGAGCTGTGTGTGTGCACAGCCAGCAWGTCTCTATTTGGAAAGAGATTTAGCAACAGAAAACAGCCAGTTCTTGTGTTGGATCCCATGAAAGCCTTGTGCATCAGAGAAATGATGCCTGCAGTGGTGATGGCCAGCAGAGTGCAGTGTCGGTGAGGAAATCTTGCACTTGGTTGCTTTCATTCAGTCCTTCAGTTGTTCTTGAGGAATTCTCAGGTGTTTTATCTTCAATGCTAGTATTTGCGTCACCCCAGAAGGGCATTTCTGTTTACAAAGTGGGGGAATATCTCAAGGAGCATCTCCTGAGCTGCTGTGCTTTAGGTCACGGACTGCAACTGCCACAGATCTGCACACGTGAGGAGATTTCACAGTGACTGTTCAGGAACGATGTCTTGAAGCAGTTGTATGCTCTGGAACAGAGGTGTGTCTACATCTTCATCATGCCCCCAGCCCTGACAAAGGGCTTGGAGGACAAATGATGCAGGAGTCCATTCCTTGGAAGCAGCTAGAAGTAAACTAAAGCTCAATGCAGTGATGTTCAAAAGAAGGAGACCACTGTCTAAATAGAGAATAWGGAATAAGGAGACAGGAAGGTAGAAAGGCCCCAGAGGTTGACACCTCCCGGTGCTGTTCCATGTGCTCAACACCTAAGTTCACTCAGTGCAGTCTACACTGAGATCCTGGATATCAGCACTTTACAACTGCAGCTGGCTGATTTATTTCCATGCCAGGTCTCAACCCTGAGCTGAACTGAAAAAAGATTTCAGCAAAATTCTTTCAGCCTTTTCTTACGAACTAGGAAAAAACACATTCTTCTGCTTCTACGCAACCACTTGTTTAGGTGATAACCAGCTTAATGACTTAAGTCAACCTAATAACATCTTTGAGTGCTGGAGTCTGGATGTGGCTTTTGGACACCTTTTCTAGCACTTTTGCATACTGGACACAAAATTCATTTTGACACTAAGAAACGTCCAAAGGGCGACTTGTAGCACGCAGAAATTAGGTACAACAGTTTTCAGGAGCTGATGCCTTTTTAAGTCATGTCCAGTCTGGGTATTGTCCAGCAAAAGCCCAAAACAGTAGCACATAGTCAGAAAGCACACTGAGGCTGTACACTCTGTACATTATCAACAGCAGCTGGTTACAGTCTCACTGTATCCATGTGGTTTCAATCTATTGATTTCTGTGTAAAGAGCCAAAGCATTACAACAACAATTAGCTTGCTCAGCATGTACTTGAGAGTRATAAAGACACCAAAACTTACTGCCTGTCCCTGATTCAGTCAGAAATCCTCCCAATACTGATGAACCAAACTGGAGTCTCAGCAGCTCTCCATCGGACAGTGATAGATTCAGAACATTTTGCTGAGAGTTATACTGGTTGTGGTGAGTTTGATGATGATGGAAAATATGGGTTTGGGGGAGATAGAACAAAAAATGGGCAAAAAGAACTACACCAAGGGGKKTTTTTTTGTTTTGTTTTTGTTTTTTATATATGTCGGTTAAATACCTCACCTCATCCATCATCAATGCGTATAGTCTTGGAAACCTATAGAAACTGAACTATAAATAATAAAAGTATGCAGCTGTCTACAAAACCTTGTTTCCTGCCCTCTCACTGGAGACTAGTATGACCATCACCAGTACTTGTGAAAGTTTCTGTTTCAAGGTGGTTGCCTTCTATTAGGGTGGCTCCACTGGTACTGGAGGGAAACTAGGCTAGCTTAGGGCCCAGAGCGTAGTTGTAGTCATTACTGCAGTATTATTGTGGTTWTTGCAGTTATAAACTGCCTTATGTTTCCTCAATCCACTTCCCCACTGCACCCCCTGCTGCCATGAATATTTGGCTCTCTCATCTTGCCCAGGTCCTAGATAGGCATATCTGACAACATTAGCATATATCCCCTGTCACTGACGATTGAAGCTAACGTATTAGTAGTCTGGAGTAGCTATGATAGCACAGACATATATTCCATGCTGCTGACTGCTGCGGGGCGTGCAATTTCTGACAAAAAGTCTGGCTGAGAACCTGGTAAAAAAACGCCTGAAACTGCCCCAGAAGGATCGCTTCCCCCTGCCAGAGCCCTCGCTGGAAGCAGCTGCGCCCCTCGCTTTGCCAGCGGCCGAGCCTGACTTGACGCCAGGAAGCAGAACTCGTCGCGTTCGGGACCTTCCCGGCAGTGCAGGGAAGCTCCGCGAGCAGCCGCCGTTTCCCGGCCGCGCGCTTCCCAGCGGCTCGGCGGGGCAGCGACACGGGCGCCCGCGGCGGCTGCTCCCGGCCCGGCCCGGCCCGATTGGGCCCGGGCGGCCCCGGGAGCCGGGCCATGAGGTGAGCGGGGCGGCGGGGCCGGGCGCGGGGCGGCGGGGGCCGCGCGGCTCTTTAGTTAGTTATTGCCACGGAGCTTCCTCACAAGCCTCCGCCAGTTTGGGTTRCGCTGCTGCTGCTGTTGTTTTGCCTTTTTTTTCCCTTAATTATTCCTCCCACTTGTTGCCCTCGCTCCGGCTGCAA